AAAGAAATTTTTCTATTTAGATAATAAAAATGATATAGAACGTGTGTTCTTTATTATTTGCTTTAATTTTAGTTGCATTGTAGTATATCTAAATAAGAAAAAGAAGGTAAGGATTAATTATTTGAATGTCTCCTAATTAATATTTTTATAATATGACATAATATTAAATAAGATTTATATTAATTTATATATGTTCTCCAATAAAGAAAAATCAATCATAAAATGTCAGGTTATATAAGTAAGAATAAAGTTTTTCAATTTCCATCATTCAATAAAAAAAAAAAATTCCAACTGAATAAGATAAGACAAAAAGACACTGGCAAAACATGCAAATTAACCTCTTAAGTCTTAACTTGTCGTGTGATGGCAGATCAGCCCCTCTAGTCCATTCACATGTAAAAGAACCCCTTAACTCATCTTTAGTGGCAAATCAATCCCTGTGTATAACTATAACATGACATCATCAATCCATTAAAATTAAACATTTCGCTCATCGCACCCTGCACTGTGTCTAACTTGGATTTTTTTTGCTGAGATGGATGCTTCATTGGACACTTTGTCAATATCATCATCCTTGATATTATCTATTCATCTTGATATTTTATGAAAATTAATTTAAGGATAATTTTTTTTTTTTTTGTATTATTTTGTTGTCAATATCATCCTTAAATCATTTTCCATAAAATATCAAGGCAATTAGATAATATCAAGGATGATGATATTGACAAACCATCTAACAAAGCATCTATCTCATAAAAAAAAATCCAAGTCAGAAGTAGTGCAAGGCATGATGAGCGGAACGTTAAGTTTTAACAAATTGACAATGTCATGTTACATAGCAGAGTTGATTTGCCACTAAAAACGAGTTGAGAGGTTCTTTTGCACGTGAATTGACTTGAGGGGCTGATCTGCCACTGCATGATAAGTTGAGGGACTAATCTGCATGTTTGCCAAAAGACACCTACCGAATTAAGAATGCATGAACATTTATTAATACTGTCTTTTTCCTTACCTCAAATTGATTTTTTCTATAGACGGTATAACTTCAATCTTAATATACAAGGATTGTGCAACATTGTATGAATGACATTTTGATTTTTATAATAGCTAATGTAACAAAAGATAAATAGATTTGTTTCGATATTAACTTACTACTAATTTAATAATAAAAAATAAAATAAAATAATTTTGTAATGAAAATTATTGCTTAATCTAAGATTTGCTCTAAAATCTAGAAGCCATTTATTTTCCAACCTTTTCATAACCCTAAACTTAACGGCCAAAAAGAGAAACCCTAACTTAGTAAAAAATTTTGCACAAGAAATTTTACAATAATTACAAGATAGAGAATAGTCTAGAAGTGCTGTTCAAAAAAAAAAAAAAAAGAATAGTCTCGTAGTGCCAAGTTTTCTATGCATGTACATTTTTAGTTCATGTTACTGGGGGCACCCATTATTTATCTTGTATATACAAAATATACATATGAAGATCTGTTGTGAAGTTCAAATTGCATTAGAGTACACAACAGAGACTCATACAAAATTCCCCAGCCAAAAAGGATGAAAAAGGAAATTGAAAAGAAGGCACGCGAACAACATAAATTAACAAAATGGTCAATCAAGAACTTGTGTCATTTTGATCATCTGGTCTGTTGTACAAGGTTGTCAAGTCCACCAGATGCCGCATTGTTGGTCGGCCATGAGGGCAATTCCAAGGAGACTTCAGCGTTGCCAAATGCTCAAGAATCTGAGGAACAAGACCATACTATTCTGTTTTCAGTACTATGATAACTTATCAAGAAACAAATGAATAAACAATAAATATATTAATATATGACAACCACAAAAATCACATATGATGAAGGCTCATGTGTGAAGATGAAATTGCTGATCAGATGAACATGCTGTAGAGGATAAATAAGGAAGGTGCATACCAAACATAGATATGCATATCTTAAGAGTGGGTTACTCGCGTCTGATATCATGCTTCATTGTGAGAAAGAATTCAGGTTGATGAGAAAAGCAGGTTCTTACCCTTTGCATTTCATTTCGTCCAAGAGGATCTCCAATCATGATAGATGATCTGCAAGCACGAGATGCCAACATAGCACGAACTCTAGCAGGGCAAACAGAATCACAAGTATCCATTTTGTAACTACTCATTATTGAGCATTCACCTTGACTATCGGCAAGGGTAGAGATCAGGTCCTTGACATCTGCACATAAAGATGCGTATCATATGTGCAATTTCATTGATGTGCACTCATTTTTATTGCGTGCAAGCACATAATATGTTGGCATGGGGCACAAGCAATCAGGAGAGTTGCAAACTTACAGTTATTTCCACTCACTGATCCTCATAAGATTGCAATTGTTTCTAAAGATAATTAAGTGAACTTGTATCAGTTCTAGTTTTCTAATGCTCAACTTGAACAGGTTGGAGCCAAATATTAGTTTCTGTTTTTAATATAAGGTGTAGTATACAAGGAGAAAGGGTTTCAGCCAGACTGTCAAAAAAAGTAAGTCCGGACAGAATTTTAGTCCAAACTTTTACAATTTTTAATTAGATCCTTGACAACAAAAGTTATATGACATCAAACAAGTGGATGCATCCTCATTCACACGTCCCCATCTGAGTGGAGAAGGTGAAATTAATCCATGTCACCTAAATTATATTGCTGTTAGTGACCTAAATAAAAAAATAAAATAAAAGTTTAGTCCCTAAACTTCTTCCCAGACTAACTCCTTTCTTGGTCATGATTATTTCAGACTGAAACCTTTCTCTCAATACATATACATATATAAATATAAATAGGTATAATATAAAATACACATAAAATGGCCAAAATACAAATTAATACATTTATTCCCTAACTACTAGTTTTGCATTTTACATTTTAGACCAACGTCTCTCTTCTGTATTCTTACAATATAGGGACCAGTAATTGCTCTACTTCAAAATGGCTCCCTACTTTCAAAAAAGATCCTCAAATTTGAGAATTCAAGATCATGTGAACTTGTTTGAATTCTATAATGTTATATTGGAATAAAGAATGACCTTTTCCTTAGACATGATAATAAAATGAAATATGAAATACCTTCAACTCCAAAAGTAATGTTTTTACTGAAGGGAACAGCTCTCAGTTTAAAATGGCGCCCTGGTGGAGCTTGTGGATCCTCTTCCAAAGCAAACCCATTTTTCCTGCAAATTTTAGAAAACAAAATTTTTTAAAGCACCACAGGGAAGTAAAATGCTAGGATAAGAATGAAATCCAAAATTTAAGCATTTACTACAGAAATAAGAAGGAAAAAGGGGAGGGGGGGGAAGTCAAGTTAATGGCCAAAAGAGAAAAAGAAAAAGCCAAAGCTAAAACAAGTAAAAAAAGAGCAAAGAAAACTTATGCATTTACTACGGAAATATTATACCAAAGAGTTTCAAAGATTTTCAGTAAGACAGAATTTGTAAATGATAAACTGATGAAAAAAAAAAAACACAATCAGTTGAAGATTGCACCTGATTATGTCCATATGCATTGAAGCAACTACTTCTTCTTCAGGAGACAGCTCCAAAATCAGTGGCCTGCAATTAATTGGAGATCAAGATCAAAATATTATCCATAATGGAAAACTGACCTAATTAAAAAGAAGGGATAATCAATGCCAATCAAATATTACTAGAGTTAGACCACTAACCTACCAGCAATGAAGTGAGATAGTTTACCAAATTAAGAATTAAAACTCAATGAGGTGAAACAGTTTGCCAAATTGAACCCAAAGTATCCACTCATCCAACTTGTCAAGAGAATATTATGGTTATATTGTGCTTTTTAACTCCATAGAGATCCAAACATTCAAAACCACTTTTATTCTCTATAGAATGGGCCAAGGAATACAATCAAAGATTTTGAGAAAGCTACAGCTGATCCTTTTTCATAATTGTGCACGTCAATTGAAAATGAAGAGATCTAATTGAAACATTTTATGGAATTTGTACAATTGATTTCATCATAATAATTAGCAAGCACTCATAAACTTAGTTCTATTATAATTTTTCCTAAATTTTCTATCTAACATGCAAGACTGGGAAATATCTATACATATATAGCAGAAAAAACCCCAAACCCAGAGGAGGAAGGAAACTTCACACATGGGTGTTAAAGAAGGGAAGTCCATACATCAACAATAATGAAGCCTTATTACCCTTGTACTTCCACACTTACATGCTTAAGAACAAATAAGGTTATATACTACATGCCATATGCTCCATCAGGGATTTAAGAAGAGAAATATCATCTATGGAGTTTTGACAAAGACACAGTACTCTTTGAGTTTTTTCATCACTTCCCTCTAATTTAACAAAACCATTTTATCTTACATTTCAGAAAGCATATGTTGAATACACAGAATTTAATAAAAATCATAGATTCCTCACCGAAGCAAAGGCTGCTGGCTTAGGACTGTTGATTGTGCTAAACGCTCATAATTGTATTTCTCATCAGCAGCATGCTGGAAATACAAAGATTATATCATAAGCCCAGTTTCATTTTGAGAAACAAAAAAAAGATTGATTTGAGAAGAAAGTGGCAAAATATGTAGGCATGAGAAAACAATGTAGTTCAACAATTACTTGATCCACAATAAATAAATCTTGATCTAACTTTCCAATGATAAATCCCAGATTGAATTGCCCAATAACCTGTCAAACAGAAACAACCATATATCGTCATCAATTTAACGTCTAGATAGACCATAGTGCAGAAAATTTAACCACTATGTTCATGATTTTAAACTTTGCAAACACTTCTAATTCGTCAAAAGAACTATGTGTTCAACTAAAGTTATAAACCAATCATAAGAGATACAAGAATGAATTTTAACCACAATCCAATTCTAACTGGATATTTCATAATTTAACACAGTAGCACATTCAACCTAGTAAACTGGGAATCAACATGCACGATGGAAATGCATCTATGTCTGTCAAAGAATATCAACTGGATAGCAAAATGTTTGTTCCTAGCCATCAAGCCCACAAGAACAATATGCAAAAATACTATAGAAAAAAATTAAGTTACCCAGAAAAAGGTTTGGCATTTATCATATACAACCTTCATTCGACTAAAGTCTTCTTTTTTGAAAAGTCGCTCCAACTCAGTTTCAGCCGCAGCTAAAGCCCGTGCTTTTCGCTCCTCATTCTCTGGTTGAGAAAGCTCCAGTGTTGCTGCAGCATAACACCTATGAGCATTGACAAAAGATCAAATCAGTCAAAACAGAATTAAAGTTATATTTTTGACACTTTGATATAAGTGTTAACTTTATAGACCTTTTCATCTTCACAATCTGAAATCTATTACTACTGCTAAGCACCCTTGACATCCTCTGCTGCCTCTTTGACACAAGATCTTGAAAACTGAACTGTAAGGTTGAACATATTTTTTGACCTGAAGAAGGTACTGGGGCATCTACTGCTAAACCAAAAGATTGTGATGGTGGAGCAGCAAATGAATTATCCTCCATATTCTCAAGATCCTTGTTGGAAGAAGCAACTAATACATTATCAGCAGGAAGCAACTCTTCATGTTCATCCTCCAACTGCTGTAGATGAAGTAGCATAAATCAGGAATAGAAACATTTTACCTTTCTATATTGACCCTAATGATCTCTAAGTATTACATGCTAACAAGAATTTTCTAAAATTTGTTTCAACATAAGAAGCCAAATTAAAGAGCTAATGATTGTTACTTGCTTTCACAAGGACCAGCTAGTGAAAAATAAGAAAATCACTTTTAATCCTCAACAATTAATGCTTCTTTTTCCTTTCTAATTTCTTTTACTAGTTAAGCTAGCTAAAGTAAGTTCAAAAAAGAGAATAGATCACATACTTGTTCAGGTTTGCTGTCATTACTATTGACTGCAGGCGAGAGCTCATCTAGAACTTCATCCAAAACTCTGTCCACCCTAAGAAACTTCTGCGGCACATTTTTGCTGGCCTCAGTACAGTCATCAACTTGGTGACATTCAACCGAGGCTCTTGTGGCCAGAGAATTTGTTTGAGAATGACTTTTCTCCATTTGACAAAGAACAGTATGATTCCTAAGGACAGGTACTTCAGATAACACGCTACTAATGCTTTCATGTTTCCTCTTGCTTACAGTTACAAATTTGTTAATTGAAGATTGAACAATGCTTGAACGACTATTTGAATTATTATTTGCAACAGTAACCGTATGAACTGTGGATGACGGGGATGAAGACTTCTCATCAGATTTACTACTGACATGACTTGTCAATTTCCCACAAATAGACTCTATAAAGACATCAGGCTTCAACGATTGAACAATGCTTGCTTGATTATTTGAATTATTATTTGCGGCAATAGTTGTATGAACTGGAGATGAAAGAGATACAGACTTCCCATTAGTAGACTCTATAAAACCATCAGCCTTCTTGGTGCCATGTACTCTTAAAGTGAAGTCTTTCCCCAACAAATTTTCATCAGTCCTAGGGTTTGATCCTTCTAGTGAATGCAAACTAGGAGTCTTGGTCATGAATGTTCCAAGAAGTGTATTTCCCTCTGCGGTTTGTTCCTCCTTGTGAATGTTAGAATCAACTCCATCTTCAGGTAATGGTTTTGAGAGTGTTCTAGGTATTTCAGGAGGAGAGCACAAGCCAGAGCAATCTTCCTCCTTAGAGGGTTCCTCAACTTTATTAATGAAATAGTTGGCATTACTTGAGGAATATATCTGCTGCAAGCCCTCTCTTAGAGCTTGTAAAATGGAGCTTTCATCAGAAAAGAAAACTTTTCTTTTGTCAGGAGTTACATTGACATCACATGCTTTGGTTGGGATTATAAAATCCATTATAGCTATGGGATACTGTCGGGAGTTTGCTCCTTTATACAACTCATTTACAAGCTTGCTAACTTTAGGCATATCCACTGGTCGACCATTCACAAAATAGTACTGTTTGTCTCCCAGATTGCGCCCACTGCCCTGTCCAGACTTGGAAAGGAACCCTTCAACACTGCAGCTGTCTGATATAGATATAGAAATGGGCTCCAAACAGTTGAATGTGTTCATTCCAAGGACTTGTATGATATTATCTTTAAGTGAACCACTTCCTTGCGATTTAAGTACCACAGACTTCACATTCTTTCCAGTTGTATTGGTGCAGACTAACCTGACTCCTTTTGCTATAAGTGCATAGGCCTGTATTTAACATAATAACACCAGTAACATCGTCCATTAAAACTCCAAAAACAATAAGATAAGTGCAATAGCCTGCACACTCAACAGCATACCTTGGAGCTACAAGTAAGTAAATCTGCATTTCTTAATCTTCATATACATATCATCTATCATGACATAAAAGCCAAATGCTGTTATTCCTCATGATCAGAGACACTGCTAACTTCATAAATTCACAGAGTCTAATGATGGAACACACTAGTCCAACAAAAAGATGATACTACATATAATGACAAAGAAATTGTTCACCAATGTAAAGAACATCTGAATATAGATGTTTCACAAATGAAATCACATAGTGAACCTTATTCCATAGAGATTCTCAAAATAGTCCTCCTAAATCAAATACAAATTAATTCACATCCCGGCATAGGAATAATCATAACTCAAACAGTTTTAAGTTTCTAGATGATGCAAGCAGGTACTTACATTCAACAAAGAGATCAACTTCCCATACTCCTTGCGTATGTTGCGATGAAATTCTTTACTTCGCACTGGGAGGTTTGAAAACAGCTTCTTTACAGCAACAGTGGTGCCAATCTGCCGTGCTGTCTTCCTCTCAGCCACCAATAAACCGGAATGATCATAAGTCAAATGCGTCGCAACTGACTCATTTTTCGTTCTTGTTTCAACTGTCAGATTGCCCAACGCACATAGTGAACTCAAAGCCTCGCCTCTAAACCCAAATGTAGTGACAGATTGAAGATCCAGAAAATCGGTAAGCTTAGATGTATGGTGCTTAAGCGCCAGAACCTAAAACAAAACCAACGAGAGAAAAATCAATCACAGTACCAAATGGGTTATTTATTTGAGCGAAAACCCTTTTTTTACCTTGAAATTATTGGGGGAAATGCCGCAACCATTATCGATGACCTGAAACCACTCTTCCCCGTAATCTTTGAGAGCGACTTCGATGCTTGTAGCTCCGGCGTCGAGGCTGTTCTCAACAAGTTCCTTCACAGCAGAGGAGAGGTCCAAGATGACTTGACCCGCACAGATTCGATGAACCACGCCTTTGTTTATAGGCTTAATTACAGCCGAAGTAGGTGGAGCAGAGGCTTCCATCTAAGCTCTGGAATCAATTAATGGATTATATGAACTGGGTAATGGCCAGAAAGAAAGAAGCATAAGTACATGGATGGGTAGGCACTTATTTGTAAAGGGAATTTACGAGAATGGGAGGAGTGTGAAGCTGAATTATGATTAGGGGGTTAGGGTTTAGTGCAGAGACTAGGGAGAAAGAGGGAGGAAGGAATAAACCCTAGTTCTAGGTTTTGGCGCCTAATCGAAGGAAACCAAACAGTTCCGTTGGTCAGCTGCCGCCAGCGTGCATCGCATAACGTATTAACGGTGCCGGCAGCCACTAGCTAGTGTACTATTTTACCGTCATAATTGAATTAAATCGTAAAATAAAAATTATTAAATAAAAAAGATCAAAAATCAAATCTCACTTTTTATTGATAGAAAATTGTTTTATATACGGTGGGTTGTATGCAATTTCATTTTATAGAATTGTTTAAATGTTTTTAATTTTAGTTTTATAATATTTTATAAGATAAATTATATAAAAGAAATTATATCTAGTTTATTCTGTACAATAATTTTTATTTTATTTAATGGTTTTATTGTTATTTAAATTACATAATATTTTTTAAAATATTTCATAAAATCTATTTATTTTAAAATACATAATATCAAATTTTCATAATATTTTTTAAATTTTAAATTACATAAAATTTTTTAATATCAAAATAAAAGATATGGCAACATTCTCAGATTAATTAACCAACCAAATCCACCGACATGTATCATTAAAGATTAAACTCTTACATTGTTAGCATCTAATGTGAAGTTAAAAAAAAAAAAGGTAAAAAAGAAGAAGCCCAAACATTCTACCCTATTCATTGTTTCTAAAAGCGAATAAGAGGTCGAAACCATTTTGACCTCCAATTCATAATTTTGATAGTTTAATCAATTTAATCAGTTAAAAAATTAAGTTGATTAAATTTTGAAAATATATATTAAATATAATAAAATGCAACTTATGTTAGAGAATTAGTAGTGGCTCTACGAACCTTTAATCATATTAAGGAGAATCAGAGTTCGAGTTTTATGTGTATTATATTTATTTAATTTATATAATTCTATAATAAATATATCTTAATGCATGATAAGATAACAAACTTGAATTAGATCAAGGGGCACAAATCATGTTAGAGTTAGAGCATTCAAGAGGGTCAATGTT